CTTCAGGTTGCGAACAAATCGGGTTGCGACCAGAGTCACGGAACAGATTAAATTCGTAACCCGAGGTACCACTGTACTCATTCCCACACGTGATCTAGTTAAGCATGTGAAGTTATATGCAATACTTTTCTTCCTCCATTCAAACAAATGTATTGCTTGGCTGCAGTTCTAGTGCTTTTCCAAAGTGATTGTACAATAGACTGTATAATGATTGATATAGTCTATTGTACTGAAAGGCTAAAAATCCCCAGAGCAATGACTACATTGCTACTATGATATATATCCTGTTTTCCCAAGATAATGCCATGTTAATCATCCATGGCTTGCAGAAGACAAATGTATCAACAATGAGAAGCTAGGCTGAGAAGCCTCCTTTAGAATTGGTGGACAACTTCAGCCAACCACACCTTATTTTTTTATATATGCTATTTCAGGGTTGAAGGTCTGCAAGGAGCATGGCAGTGATACAGTGATGTGTCTAGAGGACAGGAGTACCAATTTATTAAGTTTTTTTTTTTTTTAATGAAAAGAAACACAAAAAAAGCATGCTACCCAAAACTGCTATTTTACTTCTGAATTTTGGTGAAGTAATCTTGAGGGCTCTGGAGCTACAAAAATGACAATGAGGAGGCTGCAGGCAGCCCAAGATTGGCCTACCTCTAATTTAGGGAGAACAAGGTTTAGGGGTCATACCCCATCAACAGGAGCTTCCCTCTGTCATTCTGGCCAGCCCGTTTCTTCTAAGCACCATTGTTATAAACCAGGAGAGGGCAGTCTGTAGACTGGTTCAGAACAGTGTAATCTTAAATTTTGAAAACTATATATGAAATTGTTCTGCTCTCAGTATTGTGGAAGCACCTGAGGGAGAAAGTTAATTTTATTTATTCCTATCTTTCATGAATAATATTTACTATGACTTCATTTCATGTCTGCTGTTTTGTTCTTACTCTAATTTTTCCTGAACCCAAGCTTTAACATGCCAGATAAATTTAAATAACAACTCTCAAGATAGAAAAATGATTTCAAACAATAAAGGGATATTTGTACCAAAGATACAAATCCACAGATACTTCCATTTAAATATATGTGTAGCCAAGCAACAGGCCTTTGAAAGTGTTGTGAATCTTGTTCCCGAAATAAGTCTTCTCAATAAGTTCCTATTTAAATTTCATTGCTGATTTTAGTATTTCCCAGTAATTTAACAAGCTTTTCTTTGTATCACTACTTGCAAGGTACTCCGAGTAGGATATTTATACATGTAATATTGGTGATACAATAAAATAATATTTCACATTTTTACTATGTGTAGTATTTCTTGTTCTTTTTTCTTCTTCTCTCTCTTCTTCTTTCCTTCTCACTTCTTTGTTTCTCATTATTTCTTTGTTGAGCTGAATTATGTTTACTATCTCCTTGGCTCATTCTGTTATTCAGATGGATAGTCTGTCACTACTTGCTTCTTTGAGTTCTTGTAAGCTCCTGCTTGGGTCATCAGTAATAGAATCTAGCTCCCTTCTCTTCTGTGGACCTCTTTTTTGACTGCCTTTGATCTATCTAAACATCTTTGGATTTTGTGAAAACATCTAAGGTTTAATTTCAATATCAATTCTTTCAATGAACTGTCTGGGTTTACATCATCTAGGGTTGAATGATTTGTTCTTTTTATGGTCCAGGATATTTTCAACAATTTTCTCCAGCACCACAATTCAGTTTTTCTTCATTTAGTCTTTCTAATGATTCAGCTATCACAGCCATATGTTTCAACTGGGAAAACCATAGTCTTGACAAGTTATACCTTTGTGGTCAGTGTGATGTCTCTGCACTTTAATATTTTGGTCTAAAACTCTCATAGTCTCTCACAAATAAAAGATAGGTCTTTATTTCTTCACTACAATTACTACCCTTGTGAATTTTTGAGACTAGAAAAGTACAATCTGTACCTACTTCATTTTTTTTTCTCTGCATGTTTGCATTGGCTGTATTACCTGTTGACATAATCTTAATTTTTTTAATATTGAGCAACGGACCAGCTTTTGCACTCTCTTATTTCATTTTCAGCAAGAGATCTCTTAACTCTTCCTCACTTCTTGTTTTT